GGCAGGAATCATTTGTAATGATTTTCCAATGAGCCGCTTTGTGATATCACAAAGCCCGGAAAACAAACGCTGTAGTCCAAACGAGCCGTTTGTTGTAGTTCTTGAAAAGGGATTTTTAAAAAACGAAATATCTCCCTTTGGAGTGGACTTAGAGATTTGTAACTTTCTAGATCTTTTTAATGCCCAAACATGCACACTACACACTGACTAAAATTAAAAAAGTGAAAAAGCATAATAGGACCCCTTTAATAGCTAAATCAAACCAACAAGTTGATTGGAAAAAACATGCCTTCACCTACATTTTTGTGCAAAAGAAAAAAAAAACTACTTATACATACAATGCATTGCATATTCTCAATGCATTACTAGTGGCAGTGAAACACTGAAACAACTTTCATTTCGGTAACACTTTACTTAAAGGGTTAGTTCACCCCAAAATGAAAATTCTGTCATTAATTACTCATCCTCATGTCATTCTAAACCCGTAAGACCTTCGTTCATCTTCAGAACACAAATTAAGATATTTTTGATTAAATGTGAGAGCTCTCAGACCCTGCATAGACAGCAACGCAAATGTAATGTTCTAGAAATGTAGTAAGGACATCGGTAAAACTCATGTGACATCAGTGGCTCAACTTCAGTTTTACAAAGCTAAGAGAATACTTGAGAATGCGCTCAAAAGGTATTCTCTTAGCTTTGCAAAACTGAAGTTGAGCCACTGATGTCACATGGACTGTTTTACCGATGTCCTTATTACGTTTCTGGACCTGGGAACATTACAGTTGCATTGCTGTCTATGCAGGGTCTGAGAGCTCTCACATTTCATCAAAAATATCTTAATTTGTATTCCGAAGATGAACGAAGGTTTTCATTTTTGGGTGAACTATCCCTTTAAAGCGCCCTTATGTATAATGCATTATAAAGACTTATTATTAAAGGGTATTATGCATTATAATTATTCATAATGTGCATTGTAATACATAATAACTTGTTTTAAATAATTATAACTGAATTTAAAATTCATAGTGTAACAATGCATTGATAAGTGTTATAATGTATTAACTGTGGTTACAGTTTGTCACACCCATTAGACTGTCTGTGTGTGCTCTCCTCCCCCACGTGCTCCATGTCCTGGTTTTCCCCCGTGTTCCTCTTTGCCCATATTTGGTCCTTTCCGTTCCTGTCCTATTAGTTCATCATTTGTTTCGAGCTGTGTTTTCCCTCATGTCATGTTCATTAGATCCAGGTGTGTCTCGTCTAATCCTTGATTAGTCCCATGATTTAAGCCCTGTGTGTTTCCATGTCTAGCGTGCTGTCTTGAACGTCGATCCCGTGTCCTACGTGTGATTTCCTAGACATCAATAAAGACTGTTGATTATGATTCTCCTGCGTTCTTCTCGTTCCTCGCTCCTTGTTCCTTGCTCCTCACCGTAGACACATCGTGACAGAAAACCGAACTTTAAACAGTAAGTGGCGCCCCTACTCTCTGTGTTTTTGTTTCAAGTTTTTTGAAAGTGTTTTGGTTTTCCATTTCCATGGAGATCGCGGCACACTTCATTGCCCTAGCCCGTAGGGATCTCCCCTTCATCGAGTATGCCTGGGAGTTCTGCGGGCTCGCCGCGGAGACGGCTTTAGATGACGCCACCATCAACTCTCTGTTCTGGCACAAGGCCAATTACCATCACCCCATGGACTTCCCAGACACCACGGGACTAAGCTGGAGGGAAGGGATCCTCCGGTGTCTGGAGAGCGTCTGACCCCGAGCCAGAATCAGCCCGCCGGCCGTTCCTCATGCAAGCCTGCCGGCCACGGCATTCTCAAGCCCGCCGGCCGTTTCGTTCACCCTTAACCAAAGGAAGAGGATGAGGAGGAAAAGACTATTCTCAGCCCTCATCCTAGCCCTTGAGTTAGCCCAGTGAGGGCTCCTGTCCTCGAGTTTATCCCAGAGAGGGCTCCAGTCCCCAATTTTAGCCCAGAGAGGATTCCAGTCCCCTAGTCTAGCACAGAAATGGCTCCAGTTCCCAAGTCCAGCCCAAGGAGGGCTCCAGTCCCCAAGTCAAGCCCAGGGAGGGCCACAGTTCCCGAGTTAGGCCTACGGAGGGCCTCTGAAACTGACATTCTCCCCAAGGATTTTTTTTTGGGGGGGGGTAGTAGGGGTCTGTCCGTGGAGGCCGGGCAGAGTGCCAAGGCTCCCTGTTCCGCCATGGCCTCCTGAACTGTCTGCTCCGCCATGGCTCCCTGAGCTCCCTGTTCCACCATGGCCTCCTGAACTGTCTGCTCCGCCATGGCTCCCTGAGCTCCCTGTTCCACCATGGCCTCCTGAACTGTCTGCTCCGCCATGGCTCCCTGAGCTCCCTGTTCCACCATGGCCTCCTGAACTGTCTGCTCCGCCATGGCCTCCTAGTCTGCCTGCTTCGCCATGGCTTCCTAGTCTGCCTGCTCCACCATGGCTTCCTAGTCTGCCTGCTACGCCATGGCTTCCTAGACTGCCTGATCCGCCATGGGTCCCGGAATATGTATCGCTCTGGTGGCCTGCCGTCCCGTGTCTGTCCTGAGGGGCCTCCAGAGTGCCCATCCCCCCTCCCCGGTGGAATTGTTACGTGCCTTCCGGGAGGGGGGAGTAATGTCACACCCGTTAGACTGTCTGTGTGTGTTCTCCTCCCCCACGTGCTCCATGTCCTGGTTTTCCCCCATGTTCCTCTTTGCCCATATTTGGTCCTTCCCGTTCTTGTCCTATTAGTTCATCATTTGTTTCCAGCTGTGTTTTCCCTCATGTCATGTTCATTAGTTCCAGGTGTGTCTCGTCTATTCCTTAATTAGTTCCATGATTTAAGCCCTGTGTGTTTCCATGTCTAGCGTGCTGTCTTGAACGTCGATCCCGTGTCCTACGTGTGATTTCCTAGATGTCAATAAACACTGTTGATTATGATTCTCCTGCGTCCTCGTTCCTCGCTCCTTGTTCCTCGCTCCTCACCATAGGCACATCGTGACACAGTTATTCAGGAGATTGTACAATGCATTATAAGGTGCATTACAAGGCACAATTAATGCATTAAAACTACTTTTATAATGCATTATACATAAAGGCTTTAAGTAAATTGTTACCTTTATTTCTTTTACACACACATTATAATTACAGGGGCAGAAAAAAATATTTGCAGCACATAACTAGCTCCATATGTATAGCTTTTCAGATGTAATAAACTTGCTAATTAGCTCACCTAGTACAGCATTGCACTTGCAACGTGGAGCGCTTGGGTCTAGAGTTACAACCCTCCATAAAACAGGTCAAATACTGGTTGAAGCAAGCTAAAATGGCATGGTAAATCCGTTTTTACCTCTCATTTGCTTTTGTTAGCATTATCAGTTAGGTTTAGTATAGGTGGTACATTATTTTCAAGAGCGATAAAGCATTAATCTGCTAGCCCCTCTCACTGGACGTTTTATTTCCAAACTGGCGTAATAAGTACAACAACCAAAATAATAAAATTAATGGTGCCAGATTCACATTCATCTGCTTTGGAGAATACCAAACATGCTCTCAGTGCCACCAACTGAACATTTTAGCAAGAAGCAGCATAATACCATTTTGCAGAAATGTGGCCACTGACACATTTTTTCCAATGAGTCTAGGTTGGATCAAACAGGAAGAAGTCGTGTCGTCTGTTACCTTGATGGCAGATGTAGCAATCTGTAGGTGGTGGAGTCTTCGCAGGGTGCTCTCTCTGTCTGTGAAGTACGACGCCGCCAACTGGTGCAATATTTCTAGGGAGACCACGGAGCTGTTTCCGTTGCCCTCTGACTTTTTGCTCAGCTTCTGTTTGTCCAAGAAGATCGTGAGTGACTCCTCTCCTTAGGAAAGATACATGCAGAAACCAAATCATGAGATGAAATATATGTCCGAAGACAATGTTCATCAAAATGATAGTGAGTTCTGGTTGTACTGTCAATGTGTGCTAACATATGCCTTTCAAGTTTTTCAAGGATTTGTTAAATATGAATCACAGAAGTTAAGGCAGAGAAGCAATAACGATTTTGAAGGAAGGAAAAAGGGCACACACAAAAGAGAGTTTATCCCAAAGGGAGGTTGTTAAAACCACAGATTTCTTCTGAAGATCAATTTTAGATTTTTTTTAAATAGTAAATGCTATTTTTGATCTGAGTCTAAGCCTGAACTTCAGATAAACATTGTTGTCTGGGTTGAGGAGCGTCTCCTGAACCTGTATGTGTGGAGCTTGAGTTGTGGTGTTCATTTCAGTCTGATTAGTATGCAAGCAATAGCACGGTCCCCCCATTTCCTTTGCTTTGAGTCATTAATTACCAGCGTTGATTGTAGCTTTACCACTTCATTCGTCTCCCCTGTCTCTGAAGTTCTGCAGCTTCACAAACTACTTTTATAATGCATTATACATAAAGGCTTTAAGTAAATTGTTACCTTTATTTCTTTTACACACACATTATAATTACAGGGGCAGAAAAAAATATTTGCAGCACATAACTAGCTCCATATGTATAGCTTTTCAGATGTAATAAACTTGCTAATTAGCTCACCTAGTACAGCATTGCACTTGCAACGTGGAGCGCTTGGGTCTAGAGTTCCAACACTCCATAAAACAGGTCAAATACTGGTTGAAGCAAGCTAAAATGGCATGGTAAATCCGTTTTTACCTCTCATTTGCTTTTGTTAGCATTATCAGTTAGGTTTAGTATAGGTGGTACATTATTTTCAAGAGCGATAAAGCATTAATCTGCTAGCCCCTCTCACTGGACGTTTTATTTCCAAACTGGCGTAATAAGTACAACAACCAAAATAATAAAATTAATGGTGCCAGATTCACATTCATCTGCTTTGGAGAATACCAAACATGCTCTCAGTGCCACCAACTGAACATTTTAGCAAGAAGCAGCATAATACCATTTTGCAGAAATGTGGCCACTGACACATTTTTTCCAATGAGTCTAGGTTGGATCAAACAGGAAGAAGTCGTGTCGTCTGTTACCTTGATGGCAGATGTAGCAATCTGTAGGTGGTGGAGTCTTCGCAGGGTGCTCTCTCTGTCTGTGAAGTACGACGCCGCCAACTGGTGCAATATTTCTAGGGAGACCACGGAGCTGTTTCCGTTGCCCTCTGACTTTTTGCTCAGCTTCTGTTTGTCCAAGAAGATCGTGAGTGACTCCTCTCCTTAGGAAAGATACATGCAGAAACCAAATCATGAGATGAAATATATGTCCGAAGACAATGTTCATCAAAATGATAGTGAGTTCTGGTTGTACTGTCAATGTGTGCTAACATATGCCTTTCAAGTTTTTCAAGGATTTGTTAAATATGAATCACAGAAGTTAAGGCAGAGAAGCAATAACGATTTTGAAGGAAGGAAAAAGGGCACACACAAAAGAGAGTTTATCCCAAAGGGAGGTTGTTAAAACCACAGATTTCTTCTGAAGATCAATTTTAGATTTTTTTTAAATAGTAAATGCTATTTTTGATCTGAGTCTAAGCCTGAACTTCAGATAAACATTGTTGTCTGGGTTGAGGAGCGTCTCCTGAACCTGTATGTGTGGAGCTTGAGTTGTGGTGTTCATTTCAGTCTGATTAGTATGCAAGCAATAGCACGGTCCCCCCATTTCCTTTGCTTTGAGTCATTAATTACCAGCGTTGATTGTAGCTTTACCACTTCATTCGTCTCCCCTGTCTCTGAAGTTCTGCAGCTTCACTTCACTCATCCACCAATAAATGACATCATAATTAGTGTCGGTAACGTGCAGCATTTTGCTAGAGACACATTGAAAGGTTTGAATCCACCACTGGGACGTGCTGCCCTACTTATTATGTGGGTGCCAGAGGGAGAAGAGAAAAATACTGTCTGATAATAGCTAAACTTAATGTATTATCATGACTTTTAGTATTCCTCAGTATGTTCTTATAAATTGCTGCTATAATACATAAATACATTTAAAGAGTATAATACATTAAAACGTTATTTAAGACACAATATGCAATATATTGTGTTTTAAGATGTGACTTTTACATAGGAATTATAATACATTGCATTGCATATTACTGTGCTCACAATTTTTAATAGAAATATAATGAAGTACAACATGCCTTATATATAAATACATTGTATATGGGCAGTTGATGAAACATTTTAAACAAAATTTTGCTCATCCTTCTATTATGCCTTTAGCTTTTATGAGCTAATATTAAGAAAGTACATGGAATAGTTGCACCTAAAAAATAATTTGTCACACCACAGGACCATTTTAAATGAACCAGTAAAGGCAAAAAAGATGAAAAAAGGTAAAAGACTTAAAAGAAGTGATGACCAGACATAAACTCTTTCTCTTTTACATTCACATATATTTTGACCTCTAATCATGATGTTGATTAAAACTACCCATATACAAGTTTTACAGAATATGCTACCAAAATCTCTTGTTAAAACTTTTTCAAATTCACCTTTAGCATAGAGCTGATGAAATATTGGCTTACCTCCCAATGTGGCCGATACCAAGAAATGAGTGCCATATTTCTTGATCAGATTTTCATGGATCTGCTGAAGGCTCGGCCTTCTCCCCAGAAGCCTGAGGTTGCGTAAAAACTCAGGCGCCAAAGGCAGCGTGGCTTTGAAGAAGTCTCTCTTCTCTGTCACCAAGCTGTTCACTTTCCAGTGACTAAACTCCCTGCGAGACAAAACAAACACAGTAAGTGCTTTAATGCACATAGCGGATTTCAGAACCCATTATGTTTCATCGGCCATTGGTAGAACAGAAATCCGCACATCTATATGTGTGCGAAAGGTACGAGAGCAAAAGAACATGCTGATATCAGCAGAAAATAAGGCTAAGCATGCATAAATATTGCATGGTGCTGAATATTGATGCATCTCACTGTAATGCGGGGCGAACACGATTCGGGTCCATAAACACAATACAGCTTACATGATGCAACTTTTGACGGCTTTTGTAACTCTGACATCATTCCTTCATATATATCATTCAGAACACTCTCTCTATCTACCGTAGGCCTATATGCATTTCATAAAACCAATAACAGTCCAAGTCACTGTTTTCCTGGGGTTCTGTACATAGAACAAAGCTTATGCTTCTGTGAAGACACTACCCAAAGGAATTGCCTATTGGGCTTAGTACGGTTTGTGAGAATCTCTAAGAGTTAATTAACGAAAGCAGTGGCTGTCCGACCATAAGCTAATGATGATAGATGGTCTTAATTAAAGGGCTTTAGCACCAACTGATAGCACCTGGAACTCTGCTGGGGAGTGGGACACTATCACCCAAAACGCTCGACTTTTTAATACTCCCTGACTAGGGGGCCACCGCACCTGGGTATCATTGCATAGGCTCATCGTAATTTAACTACTTGTATTCGTTGTTTTTAACATTCCTTGTCAGCCAATAGTAAGTGGTAACTTTAGTATTTTCAGCTGGTTTCTGCATCGAGTTTTAACTTGCCTCACAACTAGTGTTGCTTTCGTCAACGAAAATTATGACTAAATATAGTCGTCAACAACCTTTATCACGTGACGAAAACGAGACGAGACGAGACGAAAATGCTGGTCATGTGACGATGATGATAATTAAATGTACAATGCAATATCGTTGAGGAATAAAACCTAGACGAAATGTGGCTTACAAAATAAAAACTATGCTAAAATGTCTCTTCATTTTCGTTGACCAAAACGAGACGAAACGAAATGTTATAACGTTATTTCGTCTCGTTATTATTATTATTATTTTGCAGTATTTCTGTTTCCTGTGTGTCGCTTAAGCGGCTGCATCAGGTCGCACTGCGCAGACGCAGGCGACGTCACTTCCTCAAGCCCCACTCGCGGCATTATTTAGAACAGTGTTTCCCAACCGGGGTCTGTCGAGAGCAGGGGTGCCGTGTAAAAAATTTTTTTTTTATATTTTTAAATTGCTAAAATGTTCAAAAAAGCAGCTATTATATAATATCCATTTCTAATGCCGCCAATAATTAGAGATGCACAGAAATTCCGGCTGCCGAAAATTAGTTCACCGCTCAGGATTCACTTGTGTGTGTGTGTGTGCAGGCGTGTGTGTTATCCTGCTCTATGCGTGTGTGTATTATCCATAGACTGTATGGTATTATCCCGCTCTGTGTGTGTGTGTGCTCCTCTCAGTCGCTCGCGGCCCATATGAGTGCTCCATTCATATACCGTTCATGCTCATGGGAACAGCAAAGTCCACTCAAAAATCAAGCTGACAGGAAACATCGATGTAGTACAGTATTGTTTCTGTCTGCAATAGCCCTACTGTGTTGTAACAAGGTGTGGTAAATGGGCAACTCTGGTAACGCTGCCCTCTCATTCATTGATCTGCTAACCGTTATGCTCACGTGTCCTTTGATAATAATAGCTTTCTAAGATTAAACGTTATTTGGATAATAGGTAAAAAAAAAAAATTCATCTCTTAATAGCCCTACAAAAATACACTGAGTGAGCAAAACTTTGTTTAATTACCATTATAACTATCTCACAATGTTTACATATGAATAAAAGCCTACATTAAAATCTGTCAAAAATAACACTAGTCTCACAACACTTCCTCGCTAATTTGAGACAGTTAAACATTTCCTCCAGGAGAACCTTAAATAATTTTCTAGAACAAAATATATATTACTTGTGAAGTTTTTTTTTTTTTGCCTTTTTGCTGTAAATTGAGCAATGATGTTAATGGGATGAAGTATTGTGTTGTGCACCGATAGCTTTTTATTTTCAGAGTCAAGTAGCAGATGCTCTGATTTTACGTTGAAATTAGCTTGAATCTTGATTACTTACCAGGAGCACCGTGCTAAATGCTCTAATTAGATGTTTTTCTAGTTTGGTGCCTTTAGGTCTTCCGATTTTAATAGAAAATACAAATTCCTGAAACTCCAGCTGATGAAATATTGAGAAAGACTTTATTTAGATATATTTAAATGTCATAAGAACACAATGAAAGTTGCTGTGTGATGACAGTTGTGAAGATTTGTTTTTGGGAATGGTGGTTTAAGAGAGGAAGCTAAAGATGGGTGGAAGTGATAGTTCCAAACAGATCTCATGTGTAACTAATTTTGTTTTGGCAAATTCATATGAATTAGCTTGAAAAAAACAAACATGAAGGTCCAGCCCTGAACCTAACCCTCAGTGGGGCTTAAGCAGATCAAACAAAAATAAATGAATGAATGTATGAATTGCCATGAGAGTATATTGGGTGGTTCACCCCAAAATTAAAATAATTTCATACTTTTTGTTCATTCTCATCTTTTTTTTTTCCTTGTGGAAGATGAAGTCTGTTTTGAGAATATCATGATGATTCTTTTCCATGTAATGAAAGTGAACAATTCTTGGGACTGTCTAGCTCCATAAAAAATGGAGAGAGAAAAAAATCATAATTTAACAACTTACATAGCTCTTGCTTTATATTCAAACTCATTTGAAGCTTTTTGTGAGGAACAGGCTGACATTTTAGTTGTTATTCACTGATGATCCTCCATTGGGATCAAATGATTGATTAAGTTTCTAAAAAACTGATTAGCTCATGAATCAGCATATTTTTTATGAACAAGCCAGTGAGAATGGATGTCAAGATTTTCAGTGAATAACGGCTTAAAATTCTCTCATAAAGCTATCTAATGACTGCAGAAGACTTGGAATATAGAGCAGTATGGATCACTTTTATGATAGTTTTACGGTGTCTTTGAAATATTGGAGATATGTAGCCATAGTTCTCATTCACTTTCATTATATGCAAAGAATTGCCAGGATATTCAACAAAAGATTAATCTTTTGCTCCATGGAACAAAGAAAGTCATATGGGTTTAGAACAATATTGGTGAGTTAATGACAGAATTTGTATTTCTAGGTTAATTACACTCTGAAAAGGTTCCAAAAGGGTGTTTTTGGGTTCCTCACAGAACATTTCAGTAATTTTTTTTCAGTGAACAAATACATTTTGCTTGTTTGGAACAGCAGCTACGCTAATTATGTCTCTAATTATGTCTATATATTGACATCCCGTGGTAACTAGAATTTACACAATTCTTCAGTCTGGATCCAGAACACCTGAGAGATGATGCCAACCCCTCAGAGGACCTCAGATGATGCCAACCCTGAAACAACATACAGAACTACCACATTTTGCTAAGTTTGATTGCATCATATAATAATTGCTGTTAATAGTGTTCATCGTCTGTTTGATTACATCTTTAACTGATTTTTCATTACATTTCTGCCATATGTACATTAACTGACAGTCACCACTGATAAGATACCACTAAATATTGTATAAACTTAATTTGCTGTAAAGTTGCTTTGCAACGATTTGTGTTGTGAAAAGCGCTATACAAATAAACTTGAATTGAATTGAATTGAATTGAATTTTTAAGGCTGTATCCCTTCAAGGTGTGAGTACTTCTTTGCCTGCAGGGCTGGACATTCAATTCCATGGACATCATGGTAAGGCTGTATCCCTTCAAGGTGTGTGTACTTCTTTGCCTGCAGGGCTGGACATTCAATTCCATGGACATCATGGTCACTCTAATGACCTCACACTTTACCTCAGTATGAAATCAGATCAGAACTGACATGAATTTGATTGGAGTGACAGACTATCAGGCTCTCAGAGATTCTGAGAAATATTTGTTCCCAGAGCATCTGGACTTTTGTATCTATAAAATAAAATAGGAAGTTCTTGTCAACTAAAGTACTGTAAGTATGATATATTGCCTCCCTTCTAAACTGCAGACGCTAAGACATTTACTAAACCCTTTACAGAAATGTCCAGTGTTTTACTCTTGTTCACTTCCTCTTAAATTGCATTTCAGATTTAGATATTTTCCTGTTTTCTGTTTTCACTCCACTGTTAAAATTGTTTTGTCAGGTAATCTAAAATACGCTTCATGCGGTAACAAATAAAGTTTTATTTATTGACTAAATTAACCTGACTATATTAATTACACAAGTGAAAGTAATTTATGGTCAGGTCAGGTAGAAATAACTGCTTGAGGTAACAACAGCACATTTTCACATTTTTGACCCTGGACCACAAAACCAGTAATTTTTCGAAATTGAGATTTATACATAATCTGAAAGCTGAATAAATAGGATAGGACAGGACAATATTTGGCCGAGATACCACTATTTGAAAATCTGGAATCTGAGGGTGCAAAAAAATCAAAATATTGTAATAAATCGCCTTTAAAGTTGTCCAAATGAAGTGAACTATCTGTTTGTAAGTGATCTTATAGATTCCTAAATGCATCTACTTTCGGAAGGCCAAATAAAGTGCTTTTGCTTTTGCCTAGAGACACACAGCATCTCCCTGACATGGCTGCTTCAACACTAACTGCGGTTACTGAAACCACGCCTTCTTTCTTTGCGTGCACATTTTGGGCGGCATTATGCTAATATTTCCACATAGTGAGGTAGATATGTGGGGGTGTGTTAGAACGAGCCGTTTTAGGGGGGCGTGGCAGAGACTTAACTTTGATAAAGAATATCTCTTTGGTTTTGAGACTTTAGTCTTTGCAACTTCAGGGTTCTTTTCTATGCACAATCAGCTTGTAACACTCCAAAGAGAAAGGACAACTTGAAATCGCATCATATGACCCCTTTAAGACTGGTTTTGTGGTCCAGGGTCACATTATTTAGTGTGGAATCTGGAACCATATTGAAAACTTATAATTACAGCCCATAGACTTTATGGCAACTATACTTAATATTGTCTTAAAGTACAGTAGGTGCATTATGCATTTATACTTGGTGATGAATCATTGACGTAAAACAAATCAGAAACAGGCTTTACACAACTATTTCCAAAGCCTGCCTCAACAATTTTTGTGTTCTGAAAATAAACCTGAAATGAAAAGATGCCACGTTTTCAACAGATGGTGAATGAATCACTCTAAACAGTTTGTTCACCTATCCAGCTAAAAGCTTAAAATGTCACAATCTGTCTGAATGTCCCATTCTGTCTTTGCTCTCTTTTTTATTTTTCTCTTTAAACCCTCTGTCTCATGCAAAACTTCAAAGGCTTCTGTTTAGTGAACTAAAACATTGGCACATGCTGCTTTTTTTGAGGGCATCATCTAGAAAATAAGCTTAGGAAACCCTCCCACCAGGGGCTGCATTGTATAATGAAAGCAGCTTTAACTATAGATTTTTAAAGAAGGATTAGTTGCCAAAGTTAAGCAAATAAGAAATGAAAAAATCATGCTTTCAGCAAAACCCAGAACTACACAATGCAAAAACAAAATGAAACTGCTCAGCAAAAACTTTGCACTGCAAACATAAAGAATTAAATTTGGCTCAATCTGTGGAAGCTCAGGCAATGTTTATCAAATGCTTCTGAAATATCCTTTGGTGAGTGATTGAAGTGGTAAATTACATCAAGTCAACGGAACACAAAAGCGATTCTTTTCAAACCCCTGTATGGCTTCTCCCCCATTATAACTCCACACAAGCATCTCCGAGTTTTCCATCCATTTGGCTTATTAATTCTACATTGTGGACCAGTGTCACCTGCATGACACAATTCATCTCTTGTGTTTCCCATGAAAACATTAAATTACATTCTGTCTCAATTGCTTATAGCATATATACACACATCTTCGTGTTTGATTTCTTTTGCAGATACTCGTTGCCTTTGGAAACCAGCTGCTACCAGGTTACTAAATCCCTACGGAGCAGCTCCCCACTGGTCGTCTCTGCCGTCACCTTGTGCAGCACCATTGGTGTGATGGTCTACAGATAATAGCACGAATGGGAGCTACTACATCATCCCAAGGATCCACATGGGTAGGGTAGTGCGTCATGGTTCTTCCATCATCATAAATATGTTTCTTGTAGTAGTATTCCTTATTCCAAATCTTTAAAAGGTATTTTATATATTTTTTCCTTGTCAAGGAAGGTTTTACAGATAAATAGATAGTACTGAATTTAAAATTATATAAAATAAATTATATTAAATAAATTATAATAAATTAAATAATATAAATAATTAATTAAAAGTATATAAATAATTTATAAAACAAATTATGTAGACTCATTTACATGACCATCACATGGACAGCCAAATATTCAGTAATCCACATACTGGACAATTATGCTTAAATGAGTAAATTAGGTAACATTGAACAACAGGTTCAATTTGCTAGTGCAGTGGGTACTATGAACTTTACACCATTCATTAATCTAAATTAATGTTCATTTCTAAACATAATATTACTTATTAGTCATTCATGTTCATTCATAACCCATGAACTCATGCTAATTTATACAACTTATTTAAATTTATACAAAATGCATTAGTATATGTAGAAATCAGAATGAACCTATGCTAAGAAATGCTGTATTTTTCATTGTTAGTTCATGATACATAATGAATGAACTAATGTTAATGAACATAATTGTCAAGTATTACCATAAATTAACCATGCTAAATGAGTAATAAAGCATTTCTACAATGACTGAAACTGAAAACCTTACTTATGCAAGTTCTTTCTTTAAAACATACCTGTGTTTTGATCAGGTATTTACTTTTATTGAGCTCACAGATGCTTCCATTTCGAATAACTTCTGAATGTAAATGTCAACTGCTGCTAAAGCCTCGGAACAAAGAAAACTAATGCAAGCGCACATATCTCTCCATTCACAACAGAAAATTCCCCATCGGCGCTGGCAGTATGACTAAAGACCATAGAATTAACTCTGCCGGGGATCCTTTGGTGCAATGTTAACCCCCAGAGGGGAGCTGTGCCCAAGGAAGCAGTAAAAGGTACAGTGCCTGCTGGTGTTCTCCTCTTGTGATGTGCAACCCAGTTTCTCTTTCTGGAAATCCTGATCTGTTATCATATCAAAAAGGGCGAATGCAGTGACCAGCTGAAGCCCCCGTCTTTGCAGTGTGAGGTCAGTGATGCTGTTTACACAATGCCTCTGAACTGTGAGGCACATACAGAAGACTCGCCTACACCCAAACACCCACACAGACTCTTTGGCTTGCAGGACAGCCTTTCAAACCGCGCTGGCAGAAGCTCGTCTCCCCCTCACTGAGTCCATCACAGTTCCGTGGGCCTTTCTCTGCCCAGCTGCTGTAGGCATGCTGGGTTCTGAATTCGGCGAGCGGAGAGAGTTGGACAGAGTTGGCTACGTACCAGCGGCGGACAAAGGAAGTAGGCAAAAAGGCCAAACTCCCCTGGCGGATCTGAGATCAGCCACAGACAGTAATGCACCAAACACACCTTTCCTTCCTGTTGTGTGTGTGTCTTTGACATGGAGTGGAATGAATGTGTAGCGATCAATATTTAAAGTGCACTGTACTGAATGAATGATGGCGGGTGCATGTAATTAAAACAGGTCAACAGCTGAATAATCACCACCGTGTTGCTACTGATGTGTTGCACTTTTCAGAATAATGATGAGTGTTGCTGTGCATGACGATGTCAACGCCAAGGTCACAGGTTTGAATCCCAGGGAACAGAGAAAATGAGACCACACTAGATAGTGTAGTGTGGTGCAGGGGTTTTCGAACTGTGAAAAATACTTGAATGAATACATTTATGAAAACAAATAATTTATTGACAGCCATAATTTTACATTACCATTCAAAAGTTTTGGGTTGGTAATTAAAAAATGGAAATGAAAATAATTGGAAAGATGTCTATTATGCAGTCAAAAATACAAAATACAGTCAAAAATCATTCTAATATGCTGCTTTGGTGCTCAAGAAACATTTTAGTAGTATTATCAGTGCTGAACACAGATGTGCTGCTATTTTGTTGAAACCATTTTTTTCCAGGATTTTTGGATGAATATAAAGTTTAAAAGAACAATATTTATTTGAAATATTTTTTATAACATTATAAATGCCTTTTCTGTCACTTTTGAGCAATTTAATGCATCCTTGTTGAATAAAATAATTATTTTATTATTGCAGTAGTGGTAATAAATATTACTGACCACAAACTCTTGAACAGCAGCAATGTATGTTTTTCTACACATCATTTTTTTCCCCACAGTATACATGTAAATAATGATATTGCTGTCTTTATATTTTAAGAAGGGGATCCCTTGCAAGGGCATCATCATTTATGGATCAATGCAAATGGACAATGTAAACTATGTAAACTTTGTGTCGTTCCATTGTCTTGGATGTAACTGCAGGCAGCATCAGAGAGGATGGAGTCTTTGCTGTATGCGCGATGGCCCTTTTCTGTCACGAGACTGCACCTGTCCACTCACCAACAATATCAACACCATGGGCTGCATCAGATTAAACAGATCCATGCCTCATCAAAACTGAACCATCAGTATTTTTTCATTTTCTACTGCTATGTTGTTGTCAGGACTTCTCACTGTGGATCTGTCACATGACTGACGAAAGGTTAGTTTGTCTGCACAAAATCTGTACCCACACTATTCTGCAGAAAGCACTACTGGTTGCTGCCAAATCCATACACCTTTCATTCACAAAGTTTTTCTAGCTTTATGAAGTTTTCATCTACAACTGAGTGTAGTCAAGTGCATGTAACCTGTTTGACCATGTTCTGTTGATTGTTTTCGTCCTGATTCTGTAAGCTAACGTTGATATGAGCAATCTCACTGTTTTGCATGATTTTCTCTCCCCACATGCAGAGAAGTAATGGAAAACAATTAATGGAAAATGGAAATCTGTGTCAGAAATGGTCTGGATTCTGAGTAAGTTTGATTTGTACATTTATGAATCATTTATGCACCACTGCAATTTACACACAAATACTTTCCCTGCAACTAATTCTTTGTCAAAAGAAAATCTTATTTTTAAGAAAACAGTTTTTAAAATCATAATATTTCACAATATTATGTTTACTGTATTTTTTTTATCAAATAAATGTTAATGCATAAGAGTTCCAATGTTCAAAAACATTAAAAAGATTTTGAATGGTAAAACTTTTGAATGGTAGTGTAAAAGACTAAAGAACTGTTCTGCTGATGTTCATCACTATTGCCCTAGAAAGCCAAGAAACAGTACGCCAGTCGTGAATCTGTATAAATCTCAATTTTAAAAAATTGACCCTTATGACTGGTTTTGTGGTCCAGGGTTACATATAATCATCACAGCACAAACCTGTAGATTTTGTAGCGTGTGGAGAAGCCTTGTTGGAAGCGTTCTTTGAACTCGGTGTATTCTGGACAGCGATGGAAGGGCCCTTTATCAGACAGGAGCCAGTCCAGCTGGCCGCTGCTCCGGCCGGAGATAGAAGAGAACGGTGAGGTCTTCTGGTCCAGACGCTCAGCCAGAGCCAGAAACCAGCTCAGTGGGCCCAGAGGTGCCCAGTGCCACAGGAGCATCAAGAGGAACCATCTAACAACCGTAGCTCTCTGCCAACACAACGCCATCCTGCCCCTGGGAGAGTAGTACATGATGAACAACATCTGTACACAGAGCACATTCATCACGGCATTCATTTTTACACAGGTCTAGTTTTAACTGCTCCCTCAGAGAGGTAAATGCCATGCTATTTGTCAAAATAAGACAAAAAAGAGTAACAGCTTCATCAAAAATTTGGTCAGGCCTTTATCATTCATAGAATGCTCTGCTCATTTTTGACTGCAACTTCCAAAATGTTTTATGCTTGCTAATTATGCACTTTGCACAAATAATGTTGGTGATAAAAGTGTTTATGTGATTTTAGCCATTGCATGTCAATTCTAAATTAGGTTTGTTTGATAAAGTCTATCTATCTATCTATCTATCTATCTATCTATCTATCTATCTATCTATCTATCTGTCTATCTGTCTGTCTGTCTGTCTGTCTGTCTGTCTGTCTGTCTGTGTATATACAGTATATATTGGTTTATATATTTACTTATTTCCCTCCATCTTCTTATGACTTATGGCATACCCATCTTGTCACTTTTGTAGCATGGCTTAGATGACATTCTAATGCTAAATCAATCACATGCTATCATTGCCACAGTTGAAACTGGCCAACTTTCAGCTAGATGGACACAGGTATGGTCAACCTTTTATTCTCAAATACCTCGTCTGACTTTACATTTGAAATTTGCCTTTCAAAAAAAGCCAGGGTCTGAGACAGTGACACCCCAGACAGCTATAGCAATGCACGGTCTTATTGCTCTCTATTCCCTCTGGAGCCTCTACCTAATTATAAAATGCATAAAACATTGAAATGCCAGGAGACAATGGAAGAAATACTGAATTTAGCCCTGACATTTTCATGCGCGCCTTGCATAATTTAGGTGTCTTTATATTTACCCTTCTCGCTCAGGAGAGAAGGCAGGCGCTATCTGCGAGTATCTAGAATTTAGCATAGGGCAATAGGGACACCAAGAACACATCACATGGCCACAACACTTGCATACAGGAGTGTTCTGCAGAGCACACTTGTTCGGAAATCAGCATTGCAGGGCCTGAGGTTCACCTGAAGGCTTTAGATCTAATTGATCAAATACTGATTACGTAGTGGTTTTAGGAAACTGGCTTGAGGACATGCTGATACCGCAGCTTTTTGTGATTATGAGGGATAAACATGCCCTGAGAACAGTGAATTGCTCAAGGAGGCTGTAATTTTCTTGCAGATTTTGTCCTTATAGAACTAGATCACCTAAAAATGAAAATGTACTCATCCTCATATTGTTACAAATCAGTGACTTTTTCCCCCTATGGAACACAAAAGCAGTTATTTCTATCTATCTACATTTTATATCTATTAACTTGCCCAAAAGACATGTATTTTTGCACATAACTACTTTAATACTGTCTTGATAGGGATTTAATTTTTTATTATTTTTGGCAGGTGGAGATTGCAGCTGTATATGGTATGAGTAAGTTATTTGTTAAATATCTGCATAGGGTTTTACATGAAACAACACAATAAAGCTCCAGGAAATTTGGGATAGCTCTTCTTGAATATCATCATAATTGCTCTCAAAATTGCTCTGAATTTTTCAACGTTCTTAACAATGTTTATAAAAGAGCCTATGACTCATGCTGTGCACCTGCTAGTATTTTGGTAACCTGCTATGCTTGTTCATCACACTTCATTATTTTCGTAGAATAACGCACCTGCAGCTTCTGTGGTTTTAATGTACTGTACTTTATGAAGCATCTCGGAAGCTCTGCTGAGGCTGTTGCTTTGTTGTATGTGGCTGTTAATATAACTTGTGTGTAAAATGTGTTTAAAGTAGATGGTTATTTATTTGGCACTTTTATCCAAAGGAGTAGACTTATTGGTGCTTTCCTTTGAAACAACCTGATTAAGTTTCTTTCTTAAAGAGATAGTTCACCTAAAAATTTAAATTAGTCATTATTTACTCACCCTCACGTCATCCCAAACCTGTATGCCTTTCTTTCTTATGTGGTTACCTGCATTCTTCAGAATATCTTCTTTTTTAATTTTTGGGTAAAATATCCCTTTAAGGACACAATGGTAATGACTTATAGGTCACACTTTACATGGATTAAACCAGTAACCTTCTTATATTTTCATCCCTGAGCTTGTAACCATTACACGAAGGTTTTGTAATCTAGGAAGTAGAATTAAAATGAACTGAAATTCAAAGAAATTAACTGTTTAATTAACTGTTTAGCTAATTTAAAAAAGTTAAAATGTTGGCTTGACAATGCCTCATTTGAAAATTATAAAGTTTAAAGGCCTTACAGACAGAAAGAACCTGATTAAGTTTATTTCTTAAAGAGATAGTTCACCTAAAAATTTAAATTAGTCATTATTTACTCACCCTCACGTCATCCCAAACCTGTATGCCTTTCTTTCTTATGTGGTTACCTGCATTCTTCAGAATATCTTCTTTTGTGTTCCACAGAAAAAAGAAAGTCATACAGGTTTGGAATGACATGGGTGAGTGATGACAGCATTTTTTAATTTTTGGGTAAAATATCCCTTTAAGGACACAATGGTAATGACTTATAGGTCACACTTTACATGGATTAAACCAGTAACCTTCTTATATTTTCATCCCTGAGCTTGTAACCATTACACGAAGGTTTTGTAATCTAGGAAGTAGAATTAAAATGAACTGAAATTCAAAGAAATTAACTGTTTAATTAACTGTTTAGCTAATTTAAAAAAGTTAAAATGTTGGCTTGACAATGCCTCATTTGAAAATTATAAAGTTTAAAGGCCTTACAGACAGAAAGAACAATAGGCCGATGATATAGATAGGTGTTTAAAATGGTTAGAAATGAGTAGAACACTATAATTTCCCAGGATGCATTTCTTTGAATTGAAATTCAGTAAATTCCTTAGCATTTCAATTCAGATGACACTTCTACAGTACTTCCTGTAAGGTGTAAAAAACACCAAATAAACAAACAAACAAAAAATTCATAAACACAATGGACACTGAACACAGTGAACACATACTTGCATCACATAATTCCTCACCAAATTCTAAAGAATAGTGTGTGATTCTTCCGAAGCATCTAAGTTCTATCATTCACACTCTTTCTGTATATGTGTGACCATGGAAGATGATTCATGTTGAGAACCACTCAATTTCACTTAGATCCCACAGGTGCAGAATCACCCTCTGAGCCATCAAAGGCAGTTATCCAAAAGTGGCGCAACAGTCGCTGTGCAAAAAGCCAATAGATGCCTAATATGGCAGAAATGTAGGCTGCTGTTCTACTCTTTACATATAACAAGGCCCAAATGAAATAATTCACATAGCCACTCCAAACTCTTCCTGATTTAAAGTTGATTTAACATCTGTTTACACGGCTCTCAAAGCTCTCAAAAACCCAATATTGTCAATTTTATAGAAAGTCTATGAACAAGGAAGACCTGTTGATGATTTAGGTTGGTTCTCCAGTATTCTGTGTTCTCATCCATTATTCAAAGTAAAGCAAGACATGTTGTGTAGTCCAGCTGTGGACATTTACTGAGCCTAAGTGCAGAGGAAGCAGGTGCACTGACATAACCATAAGTCCGGCTGTCCTATTGAACTCGGGTACACCTACTCCGCAATTTCCACCTCCTACCTTACTCTTACCACCAAGTGTGCCTGCAGCCCCATTACAGAAATACAAACGTAAGCGGAAATGTATACTGTGAATTTCCTACCACTGCTGCTGCAAATCATTTTAGTTAAGATTCCTTATTATATGAGAGGAAAATATTCATTATATGACTAGATACGTACACTTCCGTTCAAAAGTTGAAAGAAGTCTCTTATGCTCACTAAGGCTGCATTTATTTGGCCAAAAATACAGTAAAAACAGTAAGATTGTAAAATATCATTACAATTTTGATTTTGAATCAAAGTTTTTTTTATTTGAATATAGTTAAAAATTATTTTTCAAAAGGTATTTTTTATAGACAATCTATGATAGAAAGTTCAAATAAACAGCTTTTATTATTCTTTTTAATGCCGAATTTGCTACCATTTGCATACCATATCTTTTCTCATTAAGCCACATGATTTGTGTGACATTAATTACTTAACATTTTGCCTGGAAATTGTAGTAGTATGAAGAATAGTAATATGAATACTTTGATTTGCAAACACTACCAATAACCCATCATGCATTGGTGCTCATAACATTTGTCTGATTTCACTTGAGCATTTATTGTTTGTTTTGAGTTTTACTTCGCTGATAGCCATAAGGACAGCAGTTTCCACCACATTTAAACAGAGGCCAACTGACCCAAACTACATTTCCTACACTTTCAAAAGAAATAACCAAAGAGTGAGACCTTGGGGTGTAATGTTTTTTCACATAAAGAGAGCCAAGCTTTGAAACAAGTGCATTTCTATCTTGCAATTCTTGCATCACAGTTATTGCATCTGTCTTGTTTTACTGCATTCGATCTGCCAGAATGTGAGTGTCATAGACAAAGCAACAAAAAAGAAGCATACAACGAAACAAGAGCTCCACAAACCTCCAAGTATTAATGTTTATGAGCAATTTCACCCCATGAAAATAATTAAACCGCATTTAATTCACCAAAAAAATATGCCCCAGGTGACCATTTTGTATGATGGGAGATAAATAAATGAAAAGGCATAAATCCTGAAAATGTTTTTAATTAAAACATGCAAGCATGGCAAGTTAATAAGTGAAACAATTATGCGGGTGTGAAAGAGCATTAATGTGAAAGCAATTTCAACAATACCTTGTCGCAGAGGGGTTTTAAATGTCTCTCTATGTACGTGCGTGTGATGGTCTAGCAAACAATATCATGCACTAATATACATCTACTGTATGTAAATTTACATACTGTACATGTGTGTGACTTTCAAATTCTGCAAGCTTCTTTTACAGCAGGTGTTACGACATTATGGCGAATTAATAAGTTGCACTGTCTGCAAAATAATATAAGCAGATGTTCTCCAATGGCAACAGAGGGAAAATATTCACACGAGGAGTCAAAGCAAACAGCCACAATCACTGGCGTTTATTTCAGAATTAGGCACAATAACATATGGATAATTAAGACTCCTCAATGTCTTATTTACTATACCTGTGCTAGATAATTAAAAACAGCAACTTTTCCATCAAAACCAGACTCAAGTTCCACAGCTCAACTAGGTTATACTGTGCAATTGCGAAGATCTGCACACATGAGGATCGGTGATATCTTAAAGCGATAGTTTGCCTAAAAATGAAAATTCTGTCATAATTTATGCATCCTCCACTTGTTCCAAACCTGTATGAGTTTCTTTCTTCTGTTGAGCACAAAATAAGATATTTTGAAGAATGTTGGTAACCAAACAGTTGACGGTAGCCATTGACTTCTGTAGTATTTTTTTCCATACTACTAAAGTCATACTGTCAACTGTTTGGTTACCAACATTCTTCCAAATATCTTCTTTTGTGCTCAACAGAAGAAAGAAACTCGTACTGGTTTGGAACAACCAAAATGAGAGTAAATGATGACAGATTTTTTTTTTATTTTTGGGTGGACTGTCCAGCTGTTGAATCACCATAAACACATTTCAGCCTTATACTGGTGTAATCGTTTATTCATCACACTTTAAAAAACACCGTTCACACACACACACACACACACACACACCTACTTGCACTCAAGATAATTACCCTGGCTGCTTATTAGATTAGCACTGCTCCATAAAAACACATCTGCATATTGCTCTGATACTATTAGTTCCATGCCTCATCCTTAAATACGTCCTGGCACACTTACTACCAGGTCCTTGCAGAGTTTTCAGGAGTTTCTTGCCAGAACCTGTGCAAACTCATTTGGTAATTGAGGGGAAAGCGTGTCCCAGTGCAAACAGACCTCCCACACACCTATAAAACATTCTCACTGCTAATGAGAGGATGAGCTTTAGAAACACTGAACACACAGAGGACAACGCACACAGGACACATTCCAGCATCGTTGCCATGGTCACCTCATATGGGTAACCAATTACCACAAGTGCACAAATCATGATTATATATGCCACAGGTCCTCAAGTGTTTGGAGGAGTGACCGCATTAGGAAAAATGTGTGATCTAAATGTTTTATCTCTGCCTTATTAATATGTACGCCTATGTTGGAAGTTTCCTGAAAAATAGTGATAATAAACATCTTCCTGGAGGAGAAAAATTGTTGTTAATTGAAAAGCAGGCTTGTTGTAGGCACACAATTTATGTCACAATAGTTTGGGCTGCAAAACTCATCTATATTGAATATGAAACCATGGCAACTGTGTCAATTAAGTGGGAAACGCATGAAAACCATGACGTGCTCAAAACCATTTTGTATAATAGACAGTTGGATCCAAAAGTCTGCGACAACAATGAAAATCTGGGATTCAAAATCTGATTCAAACCTGGAAATAAACATTTAAACAGGACTGTTCACACCAACAAATATAACTATAAAGATAGCTATAATGCTAATTATATCAGCATCCACGCAAATGCATGATAACATTCTGTTTATTATAAGCACAGGCTTCAGTTTTGTCATCTGCTGTTTTAAATGCTCAAGCTCTTCAAAGCAATATGGTTTCTGATTGGCTGCAAATGTTTTTATCATTCATTAGCTGGAAAAAAAAAGAAGTTCTGAAAATGATTCCAATGATATCGTTCCTCTGTTCTGTTATCATTATAGTTGTGGTGTAGAATAATTTTTAAAACTAAATCTTTAACATTATAGTTGTTGTCCTTGGTGTGAACTGGCTTTTACACTGAAAACAAAAGTAACCTAAAAGTGGTATCATCCACTATAAATTAACTGGTTTAATTCAAGGCAAATATAGTATTTAATATTGCAAAATCAATCTAAACACATTAATTTATACCAACAAAAATAATTTATTTGGGTTACATCAGGTCGAAAAAACTCTAAAAGGTTTTTTCAGGGTAGACCAAAACGTAAACATAACATTTTGATGTAAAATTAACGATAAATATTTCAGATTCTGAACTATTTATGTTACTAAACAATTAAGCAAATATCTGACCTTTCTGATCTTTCATAGACTGGTTTAAACAGAAGTTTTAATTGAATCACAAGAAGCTTTTTGCTCTTAATGTTTTTAAGGGTGCTTTCACACCTGGCTTGTTGTTTCGGAACCTGGTGCGTTTCCCCCCTTAGCTCGGTTTGTTTGGGCATATGTGAACATGGTAATCGCGCCCGGATCTGCGCCAAAACAATCGGTCCGAGATCGCCTGAACGAGGTGGTCTCGGCTCAATTGAAAACGAACTCTGGAGCGATTCGGTTGTAATGAGAAAGCAATCCGATCTAAAGGACCAACGAACCAGGCTATATCACAATGTATGATGGGTAATTACGTAAGTTCCGTGAAAAGCATTAGCTTTGTTGTTTTGCTAATACTTCAAAATGAACCTGTGAATGTCTGTGGGTGAGCACGTCTTCGCCATTCAAAATAAAAAAGTGCACTTTTTCATTTTATAATGCCCTCTTATTGCTCTTCTTCCTAGTAGGTGCATTTTAAAAATGTTTTCCCGATGAATCCTGGACTCCTGCTCAAAATGATAAATTATAATAAGACAGCTACAAAAAAAAAAAAAAAAAGCTGTTGTAGTTCCATCCTGACGGATGACAGCTGTGACAGCTAAGTGGAATCCCGGAAAATAAACCGTGGAACTTTGACCAATGACAGAACAGTTTACTCTCGTGTGACTTGTATTAACAAATTTGGTTCGTTTTGAAACTTTGCTGTGTGAAAGCGAACCGCACCAAGAATAAATGCAACATTGTAATAATTTAATCCTTGTTTCGGAACAAAGTAATCGCTCTACAGGTGTGAAAGCACACTTTTCTCTACACTAATTGCAGTGTCTTGTGCTAATTTCGTTGTGTTGCGCTAATTTCATTGTGTTGCGGCTTGTTTCCTTTGTGTTGTGCTAATTTTGTTGTGTTGGGGCTTGTTTCCTTTGTGTTGTGCTAATTTCATTATGTTGTACTAATTTCATTGTGTTGCAGCTTGTTTCCTTTGTGTTGCGCTAATTTCATTGTGTTGCAGCTTGTTTCCTTTGTGTTGTGCTAATTTCATTATGTTGTGCTAATTTCATTGTGTTGCAGCTTGTTTCCTTTGTGTTGTGCTAATTTTGTTGTGTTGGGGCTTGTTTCCTTTGTGTTGTGCTTATTTCATTATGTTGTGCTAATTTCATTGTGTTGCAGCTTGTTTCCTTTTTGTTGTTTCATTATGTTGTACTAATTTCATTGTGTTGCAGCTTGTTTCCTTTGTGTTGCGCTAATTTCATTGTGTTGCAGCTTGTTTCCTTTGTGTTGTGCTAATTTCATTATGTTGTGCTAATTTCATTGTGTTGCAGCTTGTTTCCTTTGTGTTGTGCTAATTTTGTTGTGTTGGGGCTTGTTTCCTTTGTGTTGTGCTTATTTCATTATGTTGTGCTAATTTCATTGTGCTGCAGCTTGTTTCCTTTTTGTTGTGCTAATTTCACTGTGATGCGGCTTGTTTCCGTCGTGTTGTGCTAATTTCGTTGTGTTGTGCCAGTTTCATTGTGTTGCAGCTTGTTTCCTTTGTGTTGTGCTAATTTAGTTGTGTTGTGGCTTGTTTTCATTGTGTGGTGCTAATTTCGTTGTGTTGCTGCTTGTTTCCGTTGTGTTCTGCTAATTTTGTTGTGTTGGGCTAATTTCGTTGTATTGCAGCATGTTCCCTTTGTGTTGTGCTAATTTTGTTGTGTTGCGGCTTGTTTCCTTTGTTGTGCTAAATTAGTTGTGTTGTGCTTATCTTGTTGCAGCTTGTTTCCTTTGTGTTGTGCTCATTTCGTTATGTTGTGGCTTGTTTCCATTGTGTTGCATCTTTTTTGCGTTGTGTTGAGGCGATTTCGTTGTCTTGTGCACTACTGGGCCACCGTACTTTACACTAAAATTTACATTCAATTAAAAAAAAAGGAAAAAAATCCTTTTGGACCCTGCTGTTGAAAGTCTTGAAATTTTATATCATACAATGCATTGAATTGGTATGAAAATTGTTACATATTTTTTCAGAGTTCAATGTTCTTTCCAGAAAATGTGTTCTCGTCTTCTTAATTTAAGCAACAGTAACTTCCACATCATAAATTCACAGCAGTCGATGGAGGAATGCTAAATTGTGTCCAGCCAACCAGAAAATTGTAGCTGTTTATTAATTGTAACAAATGTAATTAGTATCTTAACACTTTCTAAATGAATCTTCTTTTTTTCAGTTATGGAAACATGCAGGTTGGTTTATCACACCCAGATAACACGGCCATAATTTAACGTAATGTGTTAGAAAGCTTTGCACATTTAAATAACCACTGATAAACCGGAGTCATGTCTTTGGGTAGAGACTGTCATAACATCAGTGTACTCGTTCTCTCAATTCAAGCATAATGATTTTACTTTCAGTGTACTGTTACATACTTGAATCGCTGAAAACAGCGCTATTCTATTTTGTAGAATGCTACTTTTTGTCCGAGTGGTCTCTGTAGCATATGAACTCTTGATCTAGGAAGAGGAGATGGAAAGAGGAAAGGATGAAAGGAAAGAGAGGGGATCGATTTGAAACGGTAATACAAACACACCTTTTGACCTTCAGCTATTCTGTTGACATGCACACAAAACGATATACACTACATTTAAGTGTGTGAGCACGCTCAGCTTATCCCTTACGTATGTCATTGATCATGTGTGTATATGCGAATAGTCTGTTATCTCACTTGTGATTGAGCCAGAGTACATGGTTTGTGGGTAATGGACTTTGGCAGACACAGGGTGATTGCAAAGCTCCATATGCATGTGTGATAATGAGTGAAGACAGATGTAGTGTGCAGAGACTGATCAGGGGCATCGGGGTCCTCAGATAGTCAATAAATCTACCACAGAGCCGTAAAAGGTCCATTACCCTCCAGCAGCAGATAAAACCTCCCCTAAAGATTGTTCTGGAAAGAATTTGACCCATGACCCTATTTATTGGGCTTTCACTGATTGAATCAGAATCACCGAGGGCTGAAAACCCAAAGTGACTATACAGAGTGATTGTTAACGTGAACGTACAGATGTGGTATTTAGAAACTTGGTTATTCTTAAAATATAGCCTACTACTGTGTAGTAAAACTATTCTGCATTTCTATTCAAACTTAGTGGATCTGAATTATATTTTATCCCAACCCCACACTCCACAGTGTTGTTTAGCTGTAAAACTATTTCATAAGATGCTGATAATTTAAAATAGTTAAATTATTGGCAAAGAAATTATATGCACTGTAATAAGTTATTTTTCAAAAAAGTAGTTCATTAATTGCAAGATAATAAAATATAATTATTAGATTAAAAACCTACAATAAAAA